TTTTTGGCCGAGTTCAGCTTTATCTTTATACTAGTCAGCAGTCATGGACAGCGCCGGGATTTAGGTAGCACTTCATTTTGAAGTAAATGTAATATTTTGACTTTGAAACTTTACCCTTTAAATCCGAGCAATGTTCCTGCACTCTATAGCTGCAATGCAGCAGGCATGATGGGAGAGGAACACTCGGTAGAGCAGGAAGGTCAGCTAAAACATAGAAGTTTGTTGACAACCGAAAACACAATTGGGAGCGACACACATTGTCGTCCTTCCGGCAAATAATTGAGGTCTACGGAATGTTTCGACACATAAGTCATCACATTCGCGTACTGCCAAGTAATTCCCTTCTCCAATCTCAGTATGCTTTAATCCTTCTGTACGAACATCCCATTGCAGACGGCTGTACGCAACTTTCATCTACTCTGGAGGTTGACATGCTAACGTGGACATCTCAAGTATGCTCTAGAGATCCCATATGGTCCATATGGCTGGCCCCTGCTCATCTAGGAAGCAAGTGCTGTTACCAAACACAGTTGTTTATAGAAGTAGGCAGCAGCTTATGTGGTTGTAAGCGTTTGCAGGGATAGATTGCAGCTCTGGTGAGCTGTGATACTTCGTTTTAGCAGTGGGGAAAATGATCATCAACTGTTACATGATTAAAGGCACCTTTTGGGAAAAAGCCTCAAATCGCTTTTAATATTATTAGACTTATTATTTTATTTCATCTTAAAAATTTTCCTCAAATTGAGGATGGTAAAAAACAAAAACATCACTGTAAGAAAAAGGAAAAATAAATCTGATGACGGGTATACGGTGCAAGCAGCTAGAGGTGCCTCTACATACCTGCATCAGCTTTCATCACCCCTTGTATGCCCAAGTGCCAGGCGAAACCAGAGCCCTCAACCTTCTGCCTGCCACACATTCCTACTGGCCAGTGAGGCCGTCCATTATTAATTATGATTATACAGTGGGAAAGGTGTGATTAGCCTCTAACACTACTCAAAGGTTTTAGATCTTTGCCCGTGCATTACCAATCCCAACACTGTGCGTAAAGGGGGCAATGAAGGCTGATGTGGGTACCTAAAACTGCCTGGGCTTTGTACATACTAGCAGGTTGATTGTTCAATTTTTGATTTTACAGTAAAAATATTTTTAAAATTGAAATCCAGCAGTATATCGTCAAAAGCAACCCTGCCACTATTTTGATCATGTCTAGGCTTATGTTAAATCCACTTATAAGATTCTAATACTACTGCTTCTAGTTAGTCCGCCATGGTGTTCAGCAGGTTACATTTCATCCAAGTGTCTACATAATAGCTCTGATGTGGGGGGTGTCTGTGATCATTAAAACCTATTGCCTTTTATTCGTAATCAATAGCGGGGATTTTTGGATTGGATTTTAGTTCAGAATTTTTCTCCGTGGGCATTCTGAACACGTGCACCCGGGGACATACTCCATCAAACTACACACAGATGAGCTACTTGACCTGCAACAGAACAGATACACTACTGTTATGTTTATTCTGTTTCATGGTTGCATTAGATGAATATCTTGCAGACATCCATTACTTATGAGTACATGATGATGTACCCACCCAAAAGTGCTGAGGCTTGCACCGTCAACTGCCATAGAGAATAATACCCACAATTGCAAAGTTTTTCGTGGAAACACCCACGTCCTCAAGGTCTCTGGCAGTGACACAGACAATGAAGAATACCTGGTCCTCCAGGTTGGGAGTTGTACACCATGATATAAAGTAATATAAAAGCCATTTTTGCAAAGCCTAAAACAGGATGCCAAGCCCCCTTCCATGCGCTGTAGCATCTTGAAGCAGTAGTAGTGATGAGGAAAGCACAAACTATACTATTTACTTGGTGTACCCCAGTGTTCCTCAACCTTTTTTGTTTAGCTACGGCACCATTTAAAAGTATGCAAAATCTCGAGGCACCCAAGCCTAAAATGTCATAGATTTTAAGGGGGACCCCACACAAAAACCCTTCAAATCAAGATTCCCCCTTCACAACACCCTTTGCATCAGTAGCCCCCTCTTTACATCAGAAGCCGCACTTTCATATTGGAGCCCCCTTTCACATTGAGTTCCCCTTTCACATCAGTCTTTATTCCCCTCTTAACATCAGTCCCACCACAAAATTTTGAGGCACCCCAGAGGAGGCCAGGAGGCACACCAGTGTGCTATGGCATGGTGGTTGAGAAAGGCTGGTGTACCACATCATATTGCAATCAAGATTCAATAAAGGGGAGGCAGGTGTAAAAAGATGCAACAGAAATACATGGTGCCCATGGAGGACAAGGTGAAATGAGTTGCAATCTTTTTTTCATATTAGTTTGCGATTTTCTTTTAAAGACCTGTGGCTTTTACAATAGTCACCTGAAAACACTAGAATTATACATGGCCCTGTAAGATGTGCATGTCTATGAATTAGTAAAGTGACACCTATGAGTGGTGCAGGCATTGCTACTATGCACCTTCTGTGAATCTGTGCAGGACCAAGCTTTCCATTCTGTTAGAGATTCCATTGGGCTCCAGAATTGCACCCAGTGATGTGGCAATTGTGTCCTTTTTCATGATATTTATGTGTTGCAAACAGGGTTTCACTATATTCTCCCCTCCAGGTACTGAGGCACTTCCAGCTTTTTTGAACTTTCATTTATCAACACATCGCACATGAGCATAAAATGGGCCTCCCAACAGCTGTTTTATGTGCAACGCGTTCCCTGTCAGCACATAGATTTTTTTGTCAACACAGAAGATGCTAGCATGTGTGACGAGTGCCATCATCTTCTGCTTTGTGATGGCTCGTCCAATATTATGGTCTGTTTGAGCTTAAATTCAGGTTAAAAAGAGATTTTGTTAAAAACCACCATAATGATAAACTACTTTAATTATTTTTATGTATGTTAACCATGGAATCAAGTAATCCTATTACTAAAAACTGATCTTCAAAAATTGGACTGTTTTGGGAAGTTTTAGCTAATCCAGTCTACTAAACAAAAGATAAACTGTTGGCACCATATAAATCCTGTATAATAATATTAATAATAATTATATTAATAACCAATTAGTTAAAATCACAGCAGTGCATTTGGAACGTGACAATGGATAGATTTAATGAGAAATGTATTTTGCTAATTATTTCTAAGGCGACTGATACAAAGTATTATACTAACTAACTTAATTTTGGGATCTTTGTACCATTTAATTAATTTGCAGGGAATGTAACAATATATTAGAGATTAACAATATACAAAAATAAATTTTGAAAAATGCTTAATTTAAGGGACAACTCATTCTCTGGTCATGTTCATTAGAGTTAAGCACTTGCTATACATTTAAAAAAAAGGGGGGGGGGGGCAAAAAAGCCAGGGTAAAAAAATAAAATAAAAAAGATGAAGGTTCATCCTATTGTATGGCTTCTTTATAAAAATATTATTGTTGTTTATCTTATGTTTATGACTGGGGTTTGTTTAGTACACAGGAATACACCAATTACCTTTTTATAGAGTCATATACTGTATGTTTGAATTAAAAACCAGAGGAACATTCTCCAATGTTTCTTCACTTAAAACCGGAGCATATCTTAAAGCTAGACTCACATTTATGTGTCTCTGTATTAATTAATATGTAATCAAATGCATTTTTAAATGCAAGCTGTGTAAGTACCTGAATTTAATTTCAATATAAGCCTCTTACTGTACATCACAGCTTAAAAGCAGCACAAGAAGCCAATCAGTTGTGCCTCAGTGCTCATGTGTTGACAACAATCATACTGATAGTAGGAGAGAGAGAGAGAGAGAGGAGAGTTGCAGAGAGCTTATCCGTCTGCTGCTTCACTGTCCAACCAGACTGGGAAAGGGACAAGACCTGTAAGTGTTACCTGCAGCACAAGAAAATCAGGTCCCCGACCATATCTTGCGTCTACATAAATAAGACAATCTTTATGTAAAGCAGCTGATAATGGTAGGGTCAGGATCTGCTATATGTCATTGAGCTACTCTCAGCTTGTGCAGACACCTCAGACCATTCCCAGCCTGGATCGTTGGGAATACTTTTATCCAGATAATTGTGGGCAGCACCGTGGCCTAGTGGTTAGGGCTTTTGCGGGGTCCCTGGTTCAAATCCCGACCAGGTCACTATCTACAAGGAGTTTGCATGTTCTTCCTGTGCTTGTGTGGGTTTCCTCCCACACTCCAAAGACATGCTAGTAGGTTAATTGGCACCTGTCTAAATTGGCCCCTCGTATGTATGCATGTGAGATGGGGACTGAAAGGTGATGCGAGGAATCTGACACTGCACTGTTGCCCTTCTGTTGTCTTGTACCAGTCTTGCCACTCTCCGTTCTGCCCTAACATTGACTAGTCGCTGACGGCCACAATTCGCACGTTCAGACCCAGATTTTCGGCTGACAGTCCAGTCTTTAAACACTTTAACAATGGCTGCTCTTGAACATTTAACGAATTCTGCTGTTTTGCTGATACTCGCTCCATGGCTCGCGCCAACAATCATCCCACATTCAAAGCCTGTTAAATCACTTCTACTGTCGTGGTAAACAACCTCCTTCCCTATTTATAATGGTCTGGCCCTCTAGCACCTTCAGCGCGAAATTATAGCTAATTTGCCCACAAACGTCAGGTGGTCATAATAATCTGGCCACTCAGTGTATAAATACCTGAAATAAATAATTGCCATTGTTTACACCCCCGAATAGGACATAAGCATATGGAATAATATAGTGGCTAGATCTACTGACCATCTTAGATTTATGGGTAGATCTGGTCAGGGGACTTGGCTTCACTTGGAGCAGCACAATTTTCAGGCATTGGACCACTAAACATAAGCCAAAACTTAACTTCAGGTTCTAAAAGTTGCATGAAGCAATCTTTTTATCTCATTGTCAAATTCGGATAACAATGAATGCTGTAGAAACGCACAAAAACTGAGCATTGCAAAGCCATATATATAAATTCTTTTTTTCTTTTGTAGCCTGTGTGGAAGCCATCTTCACATCAAGACGACGACCCATCAATAGCAGTTGGTGAGAAGTGGGATCGGGATAGTTCGGACATATGCGAATTCTGCCAAGCTGTTTTCCCTCCATCTTCAAGAGCTAAAGCAGAATTTCTTAGGCATCTAAATTCACACTTTCAAAAAATAATTTAAAGACACTTTGTTGTCCACGCTGTTTTTATTTAGTAGTAATACAGATTGGAATATTGCGTATAAATGGAACGGACTTTCCATATATAGATATGTATAATAGCGAATATTGAAGTCAAATTTTCAATATTTTTACATTTTAATTTTTTTCCAAAGCCTGCATAAAATTGTATGGACTTTTTGGGATTTTTTTTTCTATTTTTAATTTTGTATTCATCTGCACTGCCAGCTCTGTGCTGTATTTTATATACCTTGTATATATGTGTTTAAATATAATAATATTCCCTTAAGCAAAAACTTTTTTTATACTCTTCAAATATAAAATACATTTTTATGAACCATAAAAAAAAAAAAATCCTGCACACGTGAGTGGCAATACCCTAAAGCAACAAGCTAACAGCATTCCTATTTTTTAGCACTAGAACCTACTTTACGGTCTAAGCCTAACTGCTTCTAGGTATATTTCTTTATTATGGATATGTGATAGGAAATTAATAAAATGTGTTAATTAGGAGCTGATGAAATGAAATTGTTACTGCAACGTGTTTAAAGAAGTATATATTTTATGTGGGGGGGTTTATGTTCTATTGACACATTTTGAAATATATATTTAAATTCCTTTTGTATTTTAGTTGCATTGTATAAACTGTATATTTACCTCTTTTAACAATACACCTCAAACGTAAAGATAAATATTTCATATTTATATTTCCGATAACTGTTTTACAAAAAAATAAAGCATTAAATTGGGATTTTTAGTCTTTTTTTTTTTTTTTTTTCCGCTCATTTTTTTTTATTTTATATCTGAGATTAAAGTGTTCATTTAAATGTACCTGTACCTGGTTACAGTTGCTATCAATACACATTAAGTGATTTAGCTATTAAAGATTAAGGAATCAATTCACTAAATCTATCATTCAGATTCTGTGCTAGGAAACTTGATGGCTTCAAACATAAGTCAACTAAAATAAACGTGATCACGTGTTCACTAGGCCAAAGTAAAATATATTATTTATCTAATAACCCAAGTGTTGTCTCCTTCTTCTTCTTCTTCTTTTTTTTTTTTTTTTCTTTAACAAGAATATAATTAATACAAGAGGGGGAAAAAAAAGCTAACAGTACAAATCATAGGAAAACAGCATCAAGAAAAGGGATATACAATAACAGAGAAATTGACTAACATATAAAATTAGCAACATGTAGTTTATATAAACTCTATTGGAAATGTAAACATATAGGGTCAATTAACGAAAAAAATTGTGTCCAGTCTATACTGAAAGAGACCCCACAAGAGGGGGAAAAGACAAGGCAGGAAGAGAAGCGAGTGGGAAATAGGAGAGACATCCAGATTAAAATAAAGAAGGAAAGAAGACCTATTTAAAGAAAAAAAGTAGAAAGAAAGGGAAGGAGTGAAGGGAAAGCTGGAAAACCTCCTGTTCCCCCTTCACTTGGGGAGTAGCCTTATTTAAAATTTTTATCAAAACAAATAAACGGCAGTGCCCACTTTTTTTTTATTTGAAAAATGTGGTTATTAGAAAATCTTAGCCTGTCAGAACAAGGTTTTGAAGACTTGCAGAAAAAGACGTGATTGAGATTAAACTGTAGCGATCCACTGGAGATTATCACAATCAAGATTCTAGTTAAAAAGCTGCTTTGCCGCACAGTGGGCAGAGGCCGGAGCGCTTGGTCTGTTGTGGAGATCCCTATAGTAGCATTTCCCTGGGGATGTTACACTTCTCCCTAACAACCCTGAGCAGCAAAGCAAGCCCACATTATTACTCAGAGAGCAGCGGCAGCTCGTATGTCTTCCCTATACCTAGAGACTTTGTTTATTGTGAGATATTCTAGTGAGAACTGTGATACTTCCCAGCGCACCTTTCACTGCCCCTGCTTAAAAGCAAAACTACTAATTACACCACATGTGTAACAAGGAGCCCTCTGCAATCACAAGTAAACAAAACTGGTTTTCCTGCAGGAAATGCATATTATATGAATGCAATCGCCGTTTATCAACTGCCCCTGGTTTCCAGGTTCACAATTTATGTTTTTGGGATTTTTTTTGAGCCCCTGGAAAAAAAAGTTCTTTTTTTTAATTCCAACCAGATGTACAAGAATTATTTTTTGAACTGTCAATTCATTAAAAAAAAGGTTGATCTGAGCATTGTATTGGGTACCAGAAGTCCCATTAAGGAAGCCAGGCGACGTGTAATGACTCGCCACCTGGCTTCCTGATTAGCCAGGAAGTAGGGTGGCATGTAAAGACTCACCACCCGGCTTCCCGATAAGCAGGAAAGCCGTCTCCAGACTCCCTCGTCACCAGGTGACAAGAAAGCATGGAGCCAGCTTTCTGGCCAATCAGGAAGCCGGGCGCCGTGTAATGATGCGTTGCCCGGCTTCCTGATGGGCCGAGAAGCTGGCCAATCAGCAGTCCAGGCAATGCGTCATTACACTCCGGGAAGCCAGCTCCATTCTCCTTTGTCACCAGGTGACGAGGGAGCATGAAGCCGGCTTCCTGGCCAATCAGAAAACTGGGTGGCATGTAATGACACGCTGCCTGGCTTCCTACACGTGATAAGCCAGCTCCACACGTGATAAGGGAGCATGGAGTCGGCTTCCTGATACCGGAAGCTCAAGTATCAGGCCAGGCATCAGAGCATTTGGGCGAATACGAGTACTTGCCCAGATACTCTGCATCAAATACAGTATAATGTGCAAGAAACTTGAAGCCATATTGCACCGTCTTTATTACATTATTTATTATACACTAATATGCTGCTATTTCACATCAACCCTTTTGTGCTCAGAGGTCACTGAGGAATAATGTCCAGGCCAAAGTTTGTAGTGCAGCATGCATTGACTAGTACTCTGGGGCAGCACAGTGGCATAGTGGTTAGCACTTCTGCCTTGCACCACTGGGGGTCCCTGGTTCAAATCCTGGCCAATCCCAGCAAGGACACTATCTGCAAGGAGTTTGCAGATAGTGTCCTGAGTTACATGGGTTTACTCTGGGTACTCTAGTTCCCTCCCAGACTCCAAAGACATGGGCCCCTGGTAGGTTAATTGGCTCCTGTCTAAATTGCATGTGAGATGGGGGCCTTTAAATTGTAATCTCCTTGAGGGCAGAGACTGATGTGAATGTGCAAATATGTAAATTGTTGGCAATATATAAATACCTGTATTAAGTGCTGCAGCAAGGGTTAAAGTACCAACTAATCAGCAGTGCTGTAAATCTTTGGGGGGTATCAAACTGCCGAAGAGTCAGACCAACTCTTTGTATCTGAGAACAGCAGGCTGACTCTCCTACATGCTGCCAGAACAGGGTATTTTATTTCCTGCTGCAGCTCTTCTAAAGTAAAAGAGCGGAATATTTTATTGTATATGCAACCAGGCTACATACCAATAATAGAAGGGTTCAATTGTGCTTTAAAATTGCAGCTCAACAATAAACCAATCACTACAAAAAAAGATTAAAAGAAAGGAAGACTAACATAATTCACTATATAGATAAAAACAATGGACAAACACATTCATGCACCTACAAGATGGAGTACAATAGTGAGCTTGTAGGTGGCCTAAGGAGCAGCATTGTGTTAGTAATGCTGTTGCTCATAAGCCAGATGTTTTTCTGAAGGGAACTTTCAACAGCCACATTTAATGTATATCAAAAGTTTTGTTAGTAGGGAAGTTTAGGAACATATGTCAGGTTGGTCTTGCTGTCTACGTCTGGGCTGGGGGGGTTCTCTCTCTCTCTCTCTCTGTTCTTCGTCCTGGTGACCATTGTGAGTGAAAATCCAAAAAGTTTAGTTACCAGCAAACAGGAGGCGAGGTAAACTCTTCCAGTGGTGACAACTGTCTAGTTCCTCTCACTTCCTGTTGTGCACACAGGACAGAAACTAAAGGGAAATCTCCCCAATGGGACACAGGCAACGCGACAGAAAAAAAAGATCGTAGCTTGGAGAAGGCCGGAGAAGTTAACAATCTAGGACAAAATAGGTGATATGAAAAAATTCTCCAATTCAGCTCACTTTCCAGCTCAGCTATGTTGTCCTAGATTGTTCACTTCTCCTGCCTTCTCCAAACTCTTCACCCTTTATTAAATAACCCTGATAATCTCTATGTCCCATTTGTGTGATTTCTCCTCATTTAGTGGAATAGGAAATAAGAAATTCCTCCAAGATGGACAAAGACCACAATAAATGGACTTTTAGTAGCGTAAGGAAGGTTTGAACCTGGGTCAGGTTGCCATCTGTATAGTCATCGGGAACCCTGACATCCGTAAAAACGTGACTGAGTTTGTGACATATCCCATTCTACACAAAACTAAAGATAGAAAAAGTTTTAAGTTGGGGTTTTATTGTGCATCAAAAGAGGGTCAACACATTTTAACTTTTTTTTACCCCATGCTTTTAATTGGCAGGGTCTCTTTAAAGAGCCACTACATTGAAAATGGCAACGTTCGATATAGAACTTGATAGGGATGCACCGATACTAGTATCAGTGCCGATATTGATATTACTCATACTCGCCCAAATGCTCCTGATGCGATACAGGGATTTCAGGTATCAGGAAGCCGGACGGTGAGTCATTACATGCTGCTGGGCTCCCTGATTGGCATGGAGCTGGCTTCGTGGCCAATCAGGAAGTCGGACGCTGGACGATCAGGAAGCCATATGGTGAGTCATTACCCGCCCCCGGCTTCCTGATTGGCCAGAAAGCCGGCTCTGTGCTTCCTCATTGTCTGGTGACGGCCTCCCGGCTAATTGGGAAGTCGGGCGGCGTGTCATTACATGCTTCCCGGCTAATCAGGAAGCTGGACGGTGAGTCATTACACATCGCCCGACCAATTCCCTAATGTGACTTCTGGTATCGGTATTCAGTATCTGCGAGTAGGGGGGGGAAATGGGTACTCCTACTCGATACCGAAGAAACGGTATCAGTGCATCCCTAGAACTTGGTAAAGACTTCCACAACTATGCACATAGAAGTGCCGCCACCTACACCAACAGAAGGCAGGTTAGCTTTCTAGTAATCTTATTTT